CACCAGGGGATGTAAGGGGGGATTTAAAATGGCAGAAGCTTTTATGGGGCAAGCGCAGAAAGGGGTGTACACTCCAATGCTATGGACTCGTCTCTATGAGTGCTCGGCTATCATTTAGCGAAGACCACAGCGTCTTCACAAAAAAACAGCATCGCCAGTGATCACAGCAAAGGCTTGCCTCTGGAAAGCATTTGTGTGTACGCTGGACAGGGGAAAAAGCATTATCAGCAATTAGACTACAAATTCCACAGCTCTCACTCCATGGGGTTGGAGGCATAGTAAGGATATGAGGTTGGGAATAAATGATCACCCGATAAAAGAACAAAAACACTCAGGCGCTGTAGCCTGGGGCAAATTAAATAAACGCCCCCCCTCCCCATCAGTAACTCAAAATGAAAGAAAAATACAAGAAACTGCGGGACACACAACATCACGTATTGCCATTGGGATGCCGAAAAATGACATTAAAAGTTGTAATAATGCAGAGAAGATGAAGGCGGTGGTGGCTTTAAGCTCCCTCTAGCATGTGCTTTTACAGCTAAAGGCTCAGTTTAACAGACAAAATGGCATTTCAAACATCATACGCCTCGATTCACACCAATGCCTGTAGGTTAATTAAAGTCATGTGCACAACTGCAAGGTCTGGCCATGAAAAACACAAATTTTCTATAGTGCTAAGACAGAAATTAATTTTGCATTTAAGGATATTCATGCATAATTACTTCAAATCTTGAATTAAAGTCACCGGGGGATATGCCTCATTATGACTTGAATGCTCTCTGTCAGAATAAAAAAGTGTCCAACCTTATCCAGAATGGGCTAGTATGGGCTCAGGTCTCTGCTCCAGCCCAACACTGAAACATCTGATTCAACCAATTAATTTATCATCGTCCTAAACACAAGCTCTTTCCAAATAAAATCACATACATACGTGCTGCGCTAAAACAAAAACCAGCACCCATACTACCCTTTTCGAATAAGACTGAACACCCTTGCCATAAGCCTGCTGTCAAGAAACGTCCACAGCCCACCCACACACAGTCATCTACAATACCATATACAGCACTGCAATGCAACAGTGACAGTGGGCATAGTGCAGCCAGTGAGCCATGCATATTTATTCGACACACGGCCTACGTTTTAATTATTTCTTGCAATAGTAAAAAATCGTGTGGGTGTATGTCTGATGAAAACAAGGAAAGATTTGCATATTTGCTCTAATGTTATGGCCATCAGTTGCACTCAGAAGCACTTGTCTTACTGCGGAGTGTTGTCACAGCTTTTCAGTTAAGCCAGCTCAGTTGATGTTCAGTAACTTGCTTTCAATTCATCCGTGAGGCAAAATGAAAGCACTTCCATCGTACTTGATGGCACAGAACACTGCAGTAACGTGCATTGTAGCATGACAGGGTTAGCATAGCGCAGCACGGCACAGTTCCTGCACCATCTGATCCCACACTTCCCCTTTGTTTCAAATAAGGGCTCACTAAATTCAGCTAAATTAGTTCTGCTTAATTAAGCTAAATTAGGTTTGATCGAGTTGGAAACTGAACCCTAACCGTTATACAATCCTCAAGTCCGTTGTTCCACTGTATTCATCAGGAGTTGGTGGCAAAATAAAATTTGCGCTGTATTAAGTATTTCTCTTGACATTAACTAGAAGGCACTCAAAGGGAGCATTACCTCCGCAATGTTGCAGTTTGTTGATGGAGAAATTATCATTGGCTGTGAGAGTTAAATGAGTCTGGACTGTGCCGTCTTAATGCGCACAGAAATTCTTGCGGCTTGTGAATCAAGAATGTGCGTCTGATCTTCACTAAAATTTTATTCACTTCCTCCTTAACCCCATATCCAACAAAAAAAGAAATTTCATTGACATCCATCCATTACTTTTTGAGATATCCCATTAACTGATGAACAAACGAACAAATGAATGAACAAACGCTGGTGAAAACATATTACCTCCTGGCAGAGGCATAATAAAATGTTGACTAGTCTACATGTCTCTTCTTAGGCCTGATGAACAACAGTCAGACTCTATAGTGCTGATGGAGACAGCAAGGGTTGATGCGAACAGTACTAGCACATACACCACAACTGCCACCATTGTAAGGCTGCCTCTGCATACCAACACATCAACCACTGAGCTGAATTTGCATTACATAAAGCTTAAGTTTTCAATTTTTCGAAAAAACAGTACCACGTGGTGCTGTTGACGACTGAAATGGAATGAACGTTTGAAATGCATACAGTAAAGACACACGCAGGATTACTGATGTTACTGCCAGTTTGTATATTTGATGATTTGATAGTTTTGTTCATCTTTGGGTGTACAGGGGGAAGAGTGGAGGAGGACATTCAATAATTACGCCCTTCTGTGCACAGCATGTGAATAGCCATTTCAATACTTTTATTGTGTACTATTATATCTCAATGTAATTGAACATATTTCATAATGCACTGAATTCATTTTAACCACACGCTCTTCTTTGATAATAAACCACTACACACCAAGGGAGTTTTAATATCCTGTCATACACACAGAACTTAAGATATCTGCACCCTATGCACTAGCAGTGCCACAAAATGCACAATAATATCAATGCAGGCTAAACATGTCTGAGTTACATTCAAATCAACCAAGAAAGGCTGAGATCAATATTGCGCCAGATTACAGGTGGGCATGTGCAGTCACCAATGTATAAGTGTTACTACAAAGGAAAGGTCAAAACAACTAAGTCGGGTAAACAAGATAACAAAAAAATAATCCCATTCCAGATACTTCCACCGTTTGTTGTGTCTCAGGGGATTCTAACAAATCATCTGATTAATTGTCCCTCAAAGACATTGGAGATACAGATTAGTAATCAATTAAAGATTAAGTAGCCCATTTCCTTAATTATCACAGAGCCAAAAACAATTTGAGCTCACATTCAGTTTATTGGCACACTTATTCCTTGTTAAAAATGCAAGTCTCTACACTAAATTACCCCTCGATTGAAGAACATCCAAAACCAAATCTATGAGGTGTAATCACTGCCCATATAAAAATAAATATTCTGTGTCATATAGAAAGTGGTTATATAAGCAGAAATGACTGCTTAGCCAGCACTGTCGATTTCCTGCTCTCAGTAAATCTAGTAATAACATTTATAACCACCACATTCTCCTCAGTTTCCCTCCTATGTGAAACTTCCAATAATGTCTGCACTCTTATCAAGCTCAAAATATCAGCTACAGCTGTTAAACTCTATTTCAGACATTGCAGAGTATTGCAGATGAGAAAAAGTAGAGATTACAGAGCTGTCAGTTTTGAATCCTTTAAAGGTTCAATCGATTTTCTGCCACAAAAAGAAAGTTATCCTCTTTGGCTCAAAGTGTTTTTTTTTTGTTTTTTAACTTTGCTCTAAATCCATTTTCTCCAACAAATCTGCTTGAAAATAATTATTGCACACAATCTACAATTTTAATTTTACCTTTGTCGAGAGCTGTACACCTCACTCCTCTCTTATAAACAGAAAAATATCTACAAAAATTCTGCACAAAAAATAAAAAAAGCCATCACATCCAACACGATTTGAAGTCATTATTCGGGAGTCTCACAACTTAAACATACCCGTGCCATCATTCATCACCAATGAATATACAGCCAATTTGAAATTCCCTTCACTACAGTTTCTTTGACGTTAGGCTGGGAACCAAAGTGGATGGTGGGAGTATATAATGATGGTCTCAGAATAAGTGTAGTCCACTCAGCTATGTATGTGTATGATAGGCCCCTGAACGATAAAGCATTTCTTACCAGGGACCTGATGCCAAAACAATTTCAAAATCTATATTTCTACAAGATTGTATTTCTGAGAATCAGTATTTCTAGAATACTCCTAAGGGAGAATAATTTGCCCCATGTTGCAATAACTGGGAATAACATTCGCCAGTAACACAATAAGTGCAGCAAACAAAACAAGAGTGGATGAACACATATAAGGATCCAAAACTAAAGTTTATTGCAGAAATGCACAAGACAGAAACAAAAAACTAAACATTACACCAAGCAGGCATCAGGAGGGTTAGCACTGCGAAACAGATGAATCCTACAGTAATCTGGACATTAGACTATCGCTGGACATTCTACCCCCCCAGCCCCATCGGAGCCTAGACTCATCCCGGACTATAGATTCCCTCTGCCCCTTTCGACCAAGCCAAAACTGAACCTTCACCCTAGCCTGCGCTTATACCTCATTTTGTATTTCTTAACTTGGAAAGCCATGCTAGGCTTGCTTGCATACACCATGCAATGCAATGTATATCTGCTTTCTGCCTGCCATCTCCTCTCCCCGGTGAAATGTTGCCCTTGTTTCTCGTCTCCCCATCTTGGCTTTTCCTCTCCCTTTCCCAGTCTTTCTCCCTCCCCATTTCTCCACCTTCCTCCTGCCTCAAGCCAGCCTGAGGCAGACAGGTTCCCCTTTTTTCCTGCTGGGCTCCGCCCAGGGCCTCTTCCAATGAGAATGTTTATCTTTACACTGCCCCCATTGGCTACCATCTTGGGGGGTTAAGATCCTGTCCTATGTTTGTACGTAAAGTGACTTAAATCAATCCTAATGTTAATGGCACAACAAAAAATAAAACTGAATTGGATTTATCTTATTCAAAAGAAGAAAATTACATCCCTGACCACCAAACACAAAAATTGTAGCGAGTCTTTTGCAGGTTACAAAAAAAGTGTTGAAAGAAGAAAAAAATAATAAACAGCCCTACCATTTGCACTTAGCAGAACACACAAAAGTGGAGCTTAAAGTGCACACATGATGGTTTCTCATTTGTGCGTATCAAATAGTTTTTTGTGTATGTAAAAGGTCTGCATATGAAAATAACCCAAAGTCACCACCAGAGGAAGTTCTCTTCCCCACACAATATAATGCTCCAAACTGCCTGAAATGCCCCGATAGCAGTCTGAATTCTCACCCGAGATAGCTAGTTGACACCCATGAATCAAGTGGGACACGGTGGCACAGTGGTCAAGTGTGCTTGACTTGAGATCAAAAAGTCCTGAGTTCAAATCCTTGTCATGCCTTTCGTGGTCTGCTCTTGGGCAAAAACACTTCACTCCCACAGGGCCTCCCTCCACCCAGGTGAACAATTGGGTACCAGCAAATTGTCAGGGAAACCTGACGGAGAGCTGGGGGGTAATCTGCGATGGACTGGCACCCTGTCCAGGGGGAGCTGCAGTATTCTTAGTTGCTTCATGCAACAGAAATCAGAATTAAGCACCGGCCTGATGAGCCACATGGGCTCAGGACAGACTTCGCCTTTTGATGAATCAAGTGGGTTTCGCCCACAAACACAGCTACTTAGAGCATGCAATATTAAATCCCATTTGTATGGACTTCCAAAGGAAGAAGAAGTGAAGAAACAGTAGCAGTCTTGTGTCATTTTACTGAGGACTGCTTGGTGAACTGGACTCAGTTTAATGCTGGATGTTCTCAACAGCTGCTTCTGAAAGACAGAGCTGTGCCAACTTTGTTAGGACCTGGAGTTTTAGGTTGTTTTGGAGTTTGTCATGTAATGAAGCCACAATATTAATGCTACGCCAGCATAGCTCGTTGTATGTTTAGTAGTTAAGTTAGTTTATGCTTGTCATGTCTTGTGCCAAAGCTCCCTTGTCTTTTTGCTTGTTTTGCAAGCCTCTTGCACATCCTTTAAAGTTAATATGAGCTCTCAGGGACATTGTGCTTTCACAATCAGTTCTTCTTTCAATGTAAAAAATGTAATGTTAACATGGCTAGCTCTGTCGTTTTTCTATGGGATTTTCCATTGGATTCTGTTAGCATCATGCCAAGTGAGGATTAGCGTCCTCTGAGCCAGCTGAACTGGAGACCTGTTTGCTAACAGTATTGGACTTATAAAAAGCTCTGAAGCAGCAGACCAAATAAGTTAGGGGACAAATATATTTTTCTTTCATTTGTGTATGAAGCGCACATGACTGTTTCAGTTGTAGTTTTTCGAGAATTCAGCATTCATATTGTTTTGAGAGTTGACCAAATTGTAATTCTGAGAAAAATAAATAGGGCTTCAATTACAGATAAAGTACAATTGAAATATATATTTTGTGCATAGTGTGGAAGAAGCAAGGGAAGGAGAAACACAAGCTTTTGCCTGTCTCATGATGCTCCTGCTGTTGGCAGAAAAATATAATCCGCTTATGAAATCCATTTATGGTAAGGGGCGGGATATTTCGGACGCGCGTAAAGCGGTTGACCAATCACAAGTGAGTGGTCCAGCTGACCGATCGCAGCACACTGCACTTTTAGGGAGGGGGGAGACAGGAGCTCAAACAGCGTGTTTCAGACAGATGTGCTGCAGAAACGGCCAGTCTGAAAACTTAAGAGTTTTTTTGAACATTGAAGCATGTATACCTATTCTAGTAGACTCTATAAATACAAAAATGACAACATAAAGGAATAGAATAGGTGCACTTTAATGCAATGTTTTTTTTCAGGACTTATATGTATAGGGATTAATATGCAGTTACCAATGTATATAATGCATTCTCCAATCGACTCACCAAGATTCCATGCCCTGGTGACAAAGAGGACATGTTTGTAATTTATGTTTGTAATCTCATTCACTTGCATTGAAAATGCTACAGATTCCCATAAATACGGTACAAATAACACATTTCACAGCCAAAGTTTCCATCATACCATTAAATTTACACACTCTATAATAAAAGGGTCTGTTTGTATTAGTCTAGTCATTTCTGCACTTGATTTTTATGTAATTATCATTTTAAACCATTATAAACACAAGTAGATCCGGTCTTTTGGACAAGAAGTCCTTTGACCACAACCATTACCACAATGCGCCACTACACGTTCTCCCATTGGTCCGACTACTGGGTGGGGGCAGGTGTGTCCCAGAGTAAACAAACTCAGCAGTGAGATTATGAAGTTACAGTTTGTCAGCACAACTTTGAGCAGATTAACAAAATAAGAATAGGACCAAACTAATAAAACACGTCTCGGTAAAAATTTAATGGACCATTTTGAGAAAAAAAATCACAACAAACACCCAAACACCTAGTGTTGGATAGGTTCTTCTAAACATACAAATCTTATATCCTGCAATATTCGTAAGCATAATGCAAGTGAACAGGGAGGCGAATTTCTTACGCCTCCTCTTAGTCACAGGGGCACATGGAATCTGGGTGAGTCAATTGCAAAATTAATTGTAACTTACACATGGGTAACTGCATATTAAGTCCGATTTCAAAATCATGAAAAAATTGCCTTAAACTACAGACAAAACATATGTTCACATCAGCAAAAATGCTGCTCAAGAAAACTGACAACCGGTGCTACGAGACCGCACACCTAAACTTGGACGGTGTGAAAGCAAACTAGAAAAACCACCTTCAGGCTGTTTATCTTTGGGGTTTAGATCAACTGAGGTCCGCTTCATCAACCAACAGGGCAATCAGGAGATCAGCTGCACCAGTAAAACTGACACATACAGTAAGCATTCACTCATTCTCCACATACAGGAACATAACAACGTCAACCTAATCTCTGCAGTGTGTACAGAAACCTTCCCCAACTTGCTTTATTGGTTAATATGCAGTAGAGCTGAATAATAATACCACATATTTTGTTATTAAATTCCTTTGTGATAGTTGGACAATGAACTCCTACATTCGCCATGAGATGGTCTCATGATGAGACACAAACAAAAAAATCCCTGCACATCTGCGAGTGAAGGCGTTGATCTGGTGCTTCTCAGTAGCTTGATAATAACTCAAGATGGAATTTCAGTTGTTACAGCAGTAATAGTGGTGACAGAAAAGTGTGTATAACAGAAACAGATGAAACGGGCAAATTTGGTTCACAACATTGAAACTGCCCTTTGATTTACAGGCCACTCACGCAATTAACAGCAGAATCAAGTAAAGTAAGATTAATGATGGAGATGACATAAAACACAAAGTGAACAAAAAAGAACCACCAACCTCATTGCCCTCAGCTTTCTATCGGCAATGTTAATTGCCTATTCTCCATGATAGACTGCACATTAAAACATTAGAGCCAGCACCTATATTACAGCCACATTGAATCAATCCGTGCATGACCCTACTCAGGGCATGAATGTCATTTCCCACCCATTCTAACTTTGAAGTGCGAACTCAATTCACAGCATGAGCAGAGGAAGAGTGAAAGGTTTAGACTTCCATCTTGCCCTTTGTGTTTGAATAAATGCATAAAACATGAAAGATGGTTCTGAATTTTGCATGAACACACGACAGCTCCTCCTATACTGCCAGAAATTTCACCTTAAACCAGCATACGCTGGTCCAGCTGGTTTACGCTGTGTTTTGGACAAAAGCTGACTAACCAGCTGGTTAGCCTGTACAGCTTGCTTGTCCACCCACTTGACCATCAGCTTACTCTACCAGCTAAACAAGCTCAACCAGCTCTGGCCAGCAAGAGATCAGATTTGAACGGCAACAAGAGTCGAAAGCACAGTTTGGACCATCCTAAGCTAGCTTGGGGCCCCCTGAGGGTCATAGCTAGAATTTTCAGCAGAGTCTTGGTAAACCTACTTCTGACATGGATTTCACAGACTTACTGAAAAACATCCTTTCACAAGCTTAAAATTGACAAAAAGTAAGCTAAACTGCTAAATGGCTGCTATCCAGAGCCTGCCTCATCCACTAGCTTATGCGCTTTGGTATCTGCAAAAAGTGTACTCCCTGTCTCACTTTCTCGCAATAGGGCGGTACAAGAATACGAGCATTTATCATTTTTATGATTTTTTTTTTCTTTTTTACAAAGAATGTGCAGAGGTCAAGAAACTTTGCTATACAAAAAATCTACTGCACAGCACTGTTGATACAAAACATTATTTCACAATGTGCTTATCTGAGGTTGAAGGGTAGATAAATGGTCGCTTGCTTCACTGGCAACTATAGAATTGCTGGTTACAGCCTCCAGTGGGGCTTGAGATTCTGACTTGTATCTATAAAGATGAAGGTAAGAACAACTCTGCCGTTGATCTCTTGAGCAAGGACCTTAACCCCAAAACTGCTCCAGGGGCTTTACAACGATTTCTCTCTCACTTTTTGCAAAGCTAGCATTTCTCCCAGGTGATCCATAGAAAAGAGAAACATGTGCTCAGTGGAATTTCCCTGATTAAAATAAGGCAAAAAAGGAAATCTATTCACAAACAAAATAGAAAGAAGATCGTTTACAGTAGTTGTGCATGACCCAAAGAGGGGTGCCGCTCTGCGCCTCTCTGTTGATGCTTACCTTCTCTGAGGTGGGTGAGGTTTGCAGTTCCCTGGATATTCCTCTGGGTTCTTTTGTGACTTCCCTGATAACTCACTGATGCACTCAAGGAAGAATTTTGATAGGCCGGTTACTCCTGGGAAGATTCACCAGGGTTCTGTTTTTTTCTATTTGGAGATAACTGCTCTCACTGTGGCTTATTGGAGTCCTACAGCCTAAGAAATGGCTTTTTACCCTTTCAAGACTGATGCGTTTCAATTACTTTCATTTTTCCACGATTTCTTTTGATAAGCCACGGTGTGCTGCTTGTAAAGACCTTTTATTCCTCATTGCATTATGGTAAATGCTCTATTTATGTAATGTTTAGATCAGTGGTAACCAAGTCTGTCCCTGGAGATCTACTCACCAGCAGGTTTTCATTTCAACCCCAATTTAGCACACCAGACATTACTACTTCAGGGTGCAATGTCTCAAACTGTAGAAAGAGATGTGCTTCATTTTCATAGGACTGAAAACCCACAGAATTTACCACTCTATTCAGGTCATGAATATTCATTTTTGTTCAAAGCGAGGCTTGAGACGCTCAACTGGATCACAAGCTTTGTTTACATGGTGTTTTTCAATGGCTTGCCTGTAGAAGACAATCATGATTTGGCATTTGTTCCAGAGTTTTCTCCATTGCATAACTATAACACACTTCCCATCGCCAAAATCACGACATATTTTTGATATTACCTTAGGTACATATCACTTTTGTGGAAATTTAATTGTCTGAGTGCATGAGAAAAAAAAA